AGAATACCAGGAAGAAAAACTTACTAAAGCAATCATGGTACTTTGGCCAAAATACTACAATCAGCATCAACAGTAGCATCAAACACAGCTAAGAAAATGACAAAATGTGATAACTACTTGTTTGTCACCCTCCTACATGAACTTGTCTTGATGTAATATATCAAAATCTAGAACAATTCAGACATATTTATGAAGTAAATAAGCTCATTAGTATAGAAAATTTACCTTCCAGGAAGAAGACTTAGAAGGAGTTTGTTTTGGGGAGAAATGGAAAGGAAAAGGTTAGAAGTAGAGTGAGATGACACAGAAATATTATGTAAATTTTGAGACACTGGTGAAGACAGGAGGAAGAGAAGAAAGGAAGAATAAAATCAGGCTTAGAAGAAACTAATGGTAACAGGAGAATTGGAAATTGTATTCATGCTGTTATAAAAATAAGATCAAGAAAAAACAAAGCATGATGGAAAAAGAAAGAATTAAAGAAGAGGAAGAAAACAGAAAAAAGACAAAGAAAGAAAACAGAAAAGAAAAAATAGTCTTCTCCAATTTGTGTCTCTGCTGTCCTCAGTTGATATTCTGGGCAACTGTCTTCTAGTCTGAGTGTTATTACCAGTGAGCCAGCTGTAGTTCCCTGAGTTTCAGACTGGTTTCTAGTTATGAGGCCAGAATTGAGCTCTCTTAACTCCTGTGGGTTTGATCCCTGCCTGGTTCTGCTGCAAGTTTGAGCTGTCCCTCCCCCAGAGCAAGGCTGGGTTCCATTAGCAGGTGTTGATCTCAACCACTCATCAGCCACTGTAGTTGGCTTCATCTTTATTACAGTGGCTATCTGCACTCTTGCAGTGGGCTTCAGTTCTCAGCCACAAGGCTCAGAGAGGCCTTTTCTCTGCTGCTCAGAACTCTGCCACCTTTCTGAATTGAAAACATTAGTATTTCTTTTCTCTGCCAGCCTGTGGTTCTGGCCATTGCTCTTGTATTCAGCCACCTTTGCTTATGGTGCTCAGGCAGGCAGATCCAGTTGTTGAAGTATGGGGCAGGGACCAGGGTAGACCCTGACTGCTGAAGAATCTTTATTTACATTTCTTTCTACCAAGGACAAGATTAAATGCAAAATCCAATGAAGAATTAATGTTCTCAACCACTTAGTATGATGTTGACTGTTGTTTTTTTCCTATTATTCTTTAAGCAGAAATGTTATCACTTTATAATGTTAAAATCTCTATATTGAGAACATTACAATGCACTGTAATTTTGCTATTTGCATTCTTACATAATATATTTTTATATTTTGTAGTTTCTGTTATCAATATTTGCATGCTGTACATGATGTCTACACTCATGTTAGACAGTAACTATTTTAATATATCTTGAATGTTTTTATTCCCTCCTGCTTCTCCACTACTCTTTTTTTTTTTCTTTTGGTACTGGGATTGAACTCGGGTCCTTGTGCTTGCAAGGCAGGAGGCGGAACCACTGAGCTAAATCCCCAGCCCTGCTTCTCCACTACTCTTGCCCTTTTTCCCTCTGTCTCTAGATCATCTTCCCATATTATTATTATTATTATTGTTATATTATAATCAATTTATTATGTTAGTTCATGTTTGTGATCTATAATGATTACATTTATTGTGAAGAGTTGTTACACGTACATGAAACATCTTAAGTCGCCTCACATATCTCTTTCCCCATGTCCCATGCATGGTTACTTGATCACATTCCTATTTTTAATTTTTGTTGATGATTTCAGTTCAGCTGTATTAATTTTAACTGGCAGAGATTTTTATTATATTGTTACATCACAACTTCTGTCTTTATTTCCTATCTGACTAATGAGATTTTGTTACCATATGTCTGACACAGGTTATGTGATTAAAATGTACAATGTTTATAATATGCTGACACTCATCCTTAGTATTCTTACCTTTATACAATATATCTTGGTTCTTATTTATTCCCCATACCCTTGCCCTCCCATCAAATCCTCCTCCCCACTCTTTTTATAAACACTTTGTTTCCATTTTTCATTTTATCATATTTATTCCTTTCCTTTCTTTAATTTCCATACTGCATTCTTACAATGTAACAAAAATTTAATGAAAAATATATTGTTCTATTTTGTAAAAGAATACATTAAAATTCACCTTATTATATTAATCTCCCTCAAAATGATACCTCTAACTTCTAACAGAGTTGTGTCATCATTTTATTCTTTTTTGAAGCGCTTCTGGAAGCCCTGTTTTGTGCGTAGCTTTAAAGGTTGTGCTATTGAAAAATAATAAGTTCAATGCTGCTACTGAATGCCATCCAATGAAAATGCAGGCTGTGAAAACATGACACTGTATTCTCAACAATTATTCATTAGATATGACACCATGCAACTTCTGCCTCTTTCCCAAAGTAAAAATGATTATGAAAGGTAAACATTTTGAAATTATTCAGGATGTTAAGGCCATCCTGACAGTGTAAATGAATGTAAAGGCATTCATTGAAACAGACCTCCAGAATGGCTTCAGAAGTGGCATGAGTGACGTTATAAGTATGTTTAAAGTGCAGGTGAGCATTTTGATGGAGATTAATGGAAATGCGCCTTTTGCCTTAATATTTTGTACTTTAAAAGCATTCCCTATATTTTGGATCCATATTATATACAGATTGGTATATATAAAGTATGAAAATGGGGATGAATGGTAAAAAGACACTGGTCTTGCTTTTGAGAAAAGAAGTGCAGAGTAATATAATAGGTCCATTAAATATAGCTAAAAATTAAAAATGATAATATAGAACATTAATATTTGTTAATTTTTAAAGCCTGAATAATGACATTTTAAAATTATTATTACAATATTTATTGTGATGTTACAATTTTAAATATTCTGCAACTTTACAGCAGAAATATTGCTGGTGCAGCATGTACCTGCTGAGTATGCCCTGGGTCTACACTTCTTTTCCTTGGAGCCTCATTACCACTAAAAGTAGATGGCATTTGTAGGTGAAAGGAAATAAGGGAAAATAAAAACTATAAGAAAACAAGAAAAATGGAAACAAAGATTTTGTAAATAGGGCAGGGAGGAGGGGGTGAAGGGAAGGCAGGGGTATGGGGAAAAATAAGAACTAAGACCTGTCATGTAAAAGTACAAGATCCCAATGATGAATGTAACTGTACTGTATATTTAAAAAGTACCAATAAACTCAATGAGAAAAAAAAGTAGATGGCATCCAATCTTGCTGGGAGGACAGGTCACAGCCAGATAAGTTAAAAGGGGCCAACAACCTTTTTGACTCCTCTCGATCACAATGAAGGTGAAAGAAAATGACTGAAAATTTAATCATATTCATCTCGTGTGAAGATAATTTATGCTGAAGGTTGCTTCCAATAAATAAATAAAGGAGAAGTCTGACAGAATGAGACCTGCATTGAGTAATTTTACAAAGATGCAAAATAACACCTAGCAGTGAGGAAAGACAAGAACCATAGAGGCAACTTGATATTGGTCATCTGCATGTATTTTGCTCATGACTTTACTTGGAAAAAACTGCAGTACATTTCTACCTTATTTCTAAAATATATCCAAATGGATTTGGGTTACCTGACTGGTGTAAGTGTGGAAAGTAGCTTGTCATCTTCCCTGGATGTTGGTTATGCAGAGGATGTTTTCTCAGGAGTGCCTGTCCGCAGACACAGACAGCATTCCCTTGGCCAAAGAGGTAAACTCTGAGAGGATCCTCAGGTGTGGCTTCACAGCTGGGGAGGACTGCAAAGTGAGGCAGTCACATACAGCATCTTAGCACTTCCTATATCCCTGGAGACTCAATATCCAAAGCTCCTCATTAAAAAAAACAACACTATATTTTAATCAAGAACCCTGTGCATTATAATGTTTAAAGACTAAGGCTCTACACAAATAAAATTCAGGATGATCAAATCCAGTAACAGCAAAAACTATTTACTCACCCAATTCTTGCCAATAGTTTATCTTTATATACCGTTCATACATGATACACATGTGAGGGTGCTACTCTTCTGTATCTCAATTACAAATTTATTATACAGATAAAATCAATGATGTTTCCAAAACCTGATTCAGATTAGTTTTAATATACAGGTATACAAAATATACTTGTACAAATCATGTAAAACACAAACACTCATATGAATTTTGTAAAGTCATCTAGTGTTTCCTTACTATTCCTTACTACTACTGTGAGCCTTACTATTCATTCTGTATATTTAGTTCAACAGATTGTATTTCAGATCTTTACTCAATGCTGTAATACAGAAAGATATACAGGTTAATGTTTTCTAGTTTTACAACCACTTCCTTCAAATTCACTTAAATAGTACTGATTATATGTTACTGTACATGAGGGAATAATGGGATGAATTTTTGACTCCTGATTTTCTTATAGAATAATGATAAACTAAAAGACCTTTACGAATAGAGGCATGCTGGCTTACCATGACCTCACTTGATGTAATTAAACATCAACTACATTTAAAATGTAAGGACTGTAATACACCTTAGTATTTAAATTGAATCTTTATCTTCAATTAATATAATATTTTTATTATTGAGATTATTGGTAAATTTTAGGTATAGAGTACAGTTGCATTCATCATTGGGATCTTGTATCTTTACAATCTTTTAATGAAATATCAATATATTTAAGCTTCTTATTAACTCCAGCATAAATTTATTTTTACATTTATTGAACCTTTAGTATATTATTTGATATCCATATAAGACAAGATGACATTGTTATTTCACCCCCATTCTAATCTCACCCCCATCTAAACTCACTCCCATTTATTTCAACCACATGCCATAACACAGAAGTTATGAAATAACACCTGATTGCATAAAATTATTTTTTTCCTTAAAACTATTTTTCTTCATCACAGATCTAGAGACAAAAGCAGTCAGGCAACAAACCGAAAATAAAATAAACTTATTTTTTATGTAATCTGGTCATTTTGGAATGTGACAGTGAGAGAGTCATGCCTTCTATTTCATGAAGAATTCCGTCATTGAGAAATCCTTTGCCCCTGTAGGTCTAAAGCCTATGAAACAACACAGAAAAGAAAGCATTCTACCAATGAGTTTTCTCAGGGATACCTTTATTTCTCTGTTCCTCAGGCTGTAGATAAAGGGGTTCAGCATTTGAGGAACTACAGAATACATCACTGAAGCCACTGCAGTTTTCCTGCTTGAATCAGTAACTGCAGCACTGATGTACACCCCACATACTGTCCCATAGAACAAGGACACAACAGACAGGTGAGACCCACATGTGGAAAAGGCTTTATACTTTGCTCCTCGTGATGGCATTCCTAAAACAGAGGACACGATGCGGATATAAGAGAAAATGATTCCACCAAGAGTAATACCACCAACTATGCAAATTGAAACATAGATCAGGATGTTATCAATGACAGTATCAGAACAGGCGATCTTGATGACCTGAGCAAGTTCACAGAAAAAGTGGGGGATTTCCAGGTCTGTGCAGAAGGACAGCTGCAGTGCCCTCAGAGTATGGATCTGGCCATCCCCAATGCTAAACAACAAGGAAAGCAGAACAAGCAGGCCACAGAGGCGGGGACTCATGATGTCCATGTACCTCAGGGGATGACAAATGGCCACATAGCGGTCATAGGCCATCACTGCAAGGAGGAAATTTTCCAGGTATGCAAAAATTACAACAAGAGTAATCTGGGTGAAGCAGCTTGTGTAAGAGATACTCTGACTTTTTGTTTGGATGTTCACCAGCATCTTAGGGATTGTGGTGGAACTTATACAGATGTCAGTGAAGGACAGGTTGGAGAGGAAGAAGTACATGGGAGTGTGGAGGTGGGAGTCAAAGGTGACAGTGAGGATGATGAGCAGGTTTCCCAGGATGTTGGTCAGGTACATCAACAGGAACAGGCGGAAAATGAAGGACTGCACCTCTGGATCATCTGTCAATCCCAGCAGAAGGAAATCTGAGACAGCTGTTTGGTTTATGGGTTCCGTGTTCTCCATGGATCTGATGGAAATAATACAGTGAAAATAGTTTATATACAAGGAACAGATAGGTCTTCTGGAAGTATAGTAGTGATAAAAATTTTTGGTACTAATTACATTTTAATTGCCTGATGATGAGAACCAGGAAGCCATGTGTTATAATTCGCAAAGAACTGAATACCTCTAAATCTTGAAAATCATTGCTTTAGGAAATATTTTTCATTTATATTAGCCACATAGATACTCAAATCTTCATTGACATTCTCCCTGCTCATGTCTTGTCTCAAATCAACTCTAATTTCTATTGTCTTTATTTAACACCAACTCTGTTTTGCACTTCAGTAACAAAAATTGACACTGTAACAGAAAATAAGACACAAGTATTCCTTCAGACATATTCCATGCCACAGTACAAAAATCAAAGTAAACATGAACTCATCTAATTTATTTCTAGAGCAATGGTCTCCAGTGTTGGTATATTTCCAGTCACATTTAAGCCTTATCAAGCTATGAGTGTGACAGGTCAGCTATTGGCCCCATGTTATTACAGGGAAACATCATGGACACAAACCACACTGTCTATGTTTGGAAAAGACTGAAAGATCTGATGGTATGACCACTGATTTTAGTACCTTGAAAATGCTCTGCTCTTTCTTCTGAATAGGGTAGAATTAACATTTGTAAATGATCCAGAGGGTTTCATGGTTTACCTATACAATTATAAAGGTTTCTTCCTGAGTATAGGCACAGTTTTCTCCTTGATTTTTAGGTATGGGCATATATCAGGATGAGACATAATGATTGAGGAGCTGCAGTGTGAGAAAGCATATATCAGGATGGGACATAAGGATTGAGGAGCTGCAGAGTGAGACTTCCTCAGAATTTTCACAGCCCCTTTATACCAGAGGCTAGGAAAATCTTTCTAAATAGTCCTCACTGAATAAATTGAAGAGGATATAAAAAACTGATTTTTATAGGTTATATTCAAGCATTTCAAAATTTATGGTGTGAAATGTAGGCTCCCAACTTTTCAGACTGTGACTGCATTTTGAAAAGATCATCTGACAAGGTAACTCTCTTATAAAGAAGTCTTTAGGTTGAACCTTAATCTAGTATGACTGGGATCCTTACAAGGAAATTAGAGAATAGACACAAAGAGTAAGACTATGGGAAGATACTGACATGAGACCAACTGAGGAAAGAGAACTCAGGAGGACCCCATATCCTGATCTCTCTTTTTCTAGCCTCCAAAACTGTGAAAAAGTGAACTTCATTTATTATTTAACCCATTATGTGTGCATTGTTATAACACCTGCAGAAAACCTAGACACTGAGGCAAATTCTCCCCATGACCACCAAAACAATTAAGTAAATGACAGAATATTTTATGAGTCATCTTTTTTGAGTAGCCAAAGATTTATATTTATGTTCCCAAATAAAACAGTCTTTCCTGCTTTGAAGAAACAGCAGGTGTCTAGAAAGAGCTGGATGAATATTGGTAAAAATATAAATGAAGTCAGGCTTACAGGGACCTTTTCTCATCATCTTATACATGTATAGTTCCCATAGATCCTCCTGGGTGAAATTGTAGCAAAGTGTCTATGCTTCTGGTCACATGATTAACTAAGGAACTTTGGGTTGCATGGCTGCTCCACTGAGAATGATGTTGAGAAACTCACCTGGATGTGGAAGACAGATGATCTGTTCTCAGAAAGTGTAGAGGCATCTCCAGAGCCAGTGGATTTTTTATCAAGAAGGATCATCTCTGGGAGGACTAGCAGCTGTTGCTTCCTGACTTGGCAGAGCTTTTGAGTGAGGTTTTCACTGGCCGACTCCTACAGTCTCTGTACACCAGGTAGCTCATTACACAGGAAGTGTTATTACCATTCTGACCCAGGAGTGCATGTCCTTAAAGACCAACTCTACAGAGGGAGGAAATCAGGGTGCATGCTTTCCTGACCTCTGAGACAGTTGTAAACCATTTATTTCTCTTGATTGCTTCTTCTCACTTTCACTACACATATCATGGACACATAAAAGATTGAACTTCTCAAATACATTCCTGTCTTCCATTTTAGCTATATCTATTACATCATATCAAGAAGTCTACTTGAATTTTACATATGAAAAATGTAGCTTATATATATAGAGAGATAGATAGATAGAAAGAGAAATATTATTGTAAATATATTAGGAAGTTTTAGTAGACACTCAGTAAACTTCACTCATAAGTGTATTACTATTTCTTGAACTGTCATATTTTTTCTATATTTTGTACAGAATATTCTATTTTCATTGACATAGTAACTGCATTTTTTAAAAAGCTATCATTGCCTAAATATAATTACTTTAACTCTTTCTGAAAGATATCCAGAAGAAATAAAGGTACGTCTAACAAAATTTCTATTGTTAGTTTTCTAATGAATCCTGAAACTGATTTCCATAGTGGTTGTACAACATTAAATCTCCCTGAGTAATGTACAAGGACAAATTTTTCTACCCATAATTTCCTTAATATTTATTTGTTTTTTATTACTTCATGATAGTCATTCTTACTGAAGATATGTATCAACTCATTTTTATGACTGAAGATATTAAACATCTGGTCATGTATCAAGCATTTATGCTTCTTATTCTGAGAATTGCTTATTTGTTTCATTTGTGTAGTTTTAATGAAGACTTATTCAGGATGACTGTCATTGTTTATATTTAGTTATGCCTTTAAAATCCCTTGAAGTCACAGAGAGGTCTTAGACAGTTTTTATGGTTAGCTTTAAAAAAACAAATTTTTCTTTTTTATCTACTCTATTAATTTATCCTCTAGTTCTGACACTCTGTCCTGAAGCTGATCATTTTTGCTGTCCAGAATTTCAGGACCTTATTGTATGTTGGGATTTTGTTTGATATCTTCCATGTTCTCTAACTATTTAACAAAATTATCATTCATATGTTTATCATCTTATTTCCTTCACCCAAACTTTTGTGTCTAACTCAATCTCAGTGATCATTTTATAAGTAAAATTCTTCATCTGTTTGGTGAAATAATCTTTGAGCTTTGAACACCTTATGGGTCATTTCATTTGATTCTTCTTATATCTTGTCAAATATTTTAAGCAGTTTGTTTTATATTCCATCCACGTCAGTGCTCGTAAGATCAGCTTTTGGGAAGCTAAGAATTTTGGAGGATGTTGTTTCCTTGCATTCTCATTTACGTTTTACTGTATTAATGGTTGTGGATCAATTAGAATAAAAAAGCTCTGTTGCTAATATAAATATTTCATTAGTTAGCACATATTTTTCTGTTACATTATTTGTATTTATACACATCTTCAACATACACAGTATAATAGAATCACTCCCCGCCTTAATTGTGAGGAGAGAATCACTACTGATCACACCAGCATCTACAGAGCCATCTATATATCGATCATGTAATTTTGGCTTGTTTTAATTATTTCATCCATTCTTAAATAACCCAGAAAAATTATGCTATATCACATTTGGTAGACTAGAAGGTAAATGATTAGGGAAGAACAAAGAGGGACTTGATTAGAGGAAAATGATAAACATAGATTTAAAAAGTGATGTAAAAAAAAGGTCCAACTTTGTAGGTGTTTTTATATCTAGAGTGGAGGTCTAGTGGAGGGGAAACTTGAGATAATATTCCTTGATTAACTGAAATTCAGGCAGACAGCAAACATATCTTAAAAGAATTTGATAAGCATACACAAATGTTGAAGTCCTTAAATAGAAAGGATAACAGAAGAAGCAGTAAGCCAGAGTAGAATTCCAACTGAAGAAATAATGATTTAAATCTGACCACGTATGCTGAGAATAGGGACAAATCTGAGAATACATTCTTTTTATGGATTTTGGGCTTGCATTATTATTTGAATTAGAAACAAAGAAACACATTCAACTCCCACTCTTCTCATGTGGAAAAAAAGTATACTGAGAAAATTAAAATAGGTTATTACCAAGATGTAAGAGGGTCTTCTTTATATATTTTATCACCTGCAGTAATCACAAAAAGAATATTAAAATCTGTTCTGCCAATTTTAAAGAACAAATATCATGGCAAAACATCATGATGCATAAGCAGAGACCACAGTGTGTTGTATTTTTCTAATATTTTGCTTTTATTATAATTGCACTATACCCACACATTTTCACATCCAAAATAGGAATCTGACTTTCAAATATCATGAAATAAATAGAGAACCCTTAATTTATAACTAAAAAGCAACACTAAAATTTCTTAGAGAAGTGATGTGTATTTTGCCTGTAAAGTCCCTGAAATAGAAATGAGCAGAAATAACAGGGAGAAGTTACTGGACACACCCAGTCTCTAGGGTAAGAAAATCAACCATTCTGACCTCCTCACCTCTTAGAATCTTGGACTTTAAGGATATGTGCTCCAGCATCAGAAGTAGAATGAAATATCTGACCTAATGAGGCCCTTTTGGATATTGAATGTGAAAGGATAGAGATAGAGGAAGTTGGCCAGAGAAAATATCACAGAGCTTCCCTGCTCCAGTCTGCAACCATGCATCACCTTCTTCCTGGGAAGATCTTGCTTTCCCAGTGCTCCAATGACTAACAAGTCTGTCTGCTTCTGCTGATATTCAACCTTCAGTACTCAGGGAAGTTGTTCAATGTCATTCATCTTGAAGCAAAACATGAAATATGAAATCCCTTTTCAATGCTTTGGAAATGAATTTAGTTGCTGTATGTAATTTGGAGAAATAGGAGGCAAAGTCATACATAAGTTAATGAGAAGATAGTGTTTCATGCCTTTGCTATCAGTTTTCTCTACTTTGAAAAAATTTCATGAACAAGATGTGACAAAAGATGGTGTAAATTTTAAATTTTATTGGTAAACTTTTAATTACATTTTCAATTTCACTGACTGTAATGGGGGTATTTAAAATGTTTTTATCTTCTTTGTTCAACATTGGTAATTCAGAAGTATCTAGAAATATGTCCATTTCTATGTTTTCCATTTTGTTAGAGTAAAG